ACTTGTTTTGGACTGAAGCATGCAACACCCGCTGAGTGCCATGAAACAGCTTGAAAGATCAAAGACAATTTTGAATATAACTCCGACTGGATTCGTCTGAAAGAAGAAAGTCATATACACCTAGGATGACTTGAGGGTAAGTAATTTATGGGCTAATTTTCATTTTTGGGTGAACTAACCCTTTAAGGATTTAAGAAGAAAACTATTGTTGGACTTTCCACAGGAATTACTATTAATTTTGCTGTTGCTTTATGCAGTAGTCAAGTAAATGTACATAATATGTATTTATATTATGTGCTTGTTTTTATTTTTTGTATTTAATTATAACAAAGTATTGTGTAGTTAGCAGGTTAGTAAGTTATATATATATTCAAATCTGACCAAGTAACAGTACTGGTATAGGATTAGTATTGGCCATTATACAGCATTTCAGGTATCAGAATTGGATTTGTAAAGGAAAAAATAAGTATTGGTGCACCCCTAAAAATAGGCATATTTCTGAATGGGAGTATGCGAGTAGTTGACAATATGTTTGAATAAATCCATTCAGTGCACTGTGCATTGGTAGACTGACCTGTTCCGGTGCACATGCTCCAAGATGGAAGTCTGTATGGTGTTGTAAAACTGTAGAACACACTGACATCACGAGGTGTCAGAAACTCCACAAACTTTCTGTCTTTGAACTCATCTTTTCTGCAGTTCAAGATCCCTGCAGCCTGTTCCGAAATGTACACGATCTTTCCTGTGATCAAGGACACCGCAACTGCAAAAATATCCTGCAGACACAAAAACACCAAACATTTTTAGACATTGCCTTCATGTTCCTAAGTCATATTAATGAGGCCAGGAACTGAGCTGTGTCCAGGTCTAGCTCCAGTCCAGCAAGTCCATCTTATATAACCGATACACACACATATATGTATATGTATGTGTGTGTATATACAATTGCAATCAAAATTATTCTCAACCTCCTTTACATGCAAGACACTCTTTTGCCGTGAACAACATTTTTTGAATTTTTATTAATACACATTTGTGTGATTCTAATGACTTAAAGGTGATGAAAAAAATAAAAAAATAAAAAAATTAACTGGCTTTAAACATTCATGTACAAAATTTTTTTTTATTCTCTATAATCTCCAATAAACATTGCCTCTAAGTGCTTAAAAGCTTCTGAGACCTCTTTATGCAATCCTGACCTATTCCTTGCTTGAAAAAGCTTCCAGATCGCTGATAATTTGATAATAGTCATTCACATTACTGATCATTATTTTCATGTTGCAACTAAATACCACTAAATATTTTTTATGATATTTAAATCAAGAGACTGCACTCAAGAACATTCTAGGACCAATCTCTAAAAGCTTCAGTAGATTTGGATGTATGCTTTGGGATTATTGCCCTGCTGGAAAGTACAATGATCATTATAGAGCTTCCAAAGGCTTAATTATGTTTTAACTAGGGCTGTTGAACATGTTAATTTAATTCATTAGTTTTGGGGGGAAAAAAAGTGTTCAAATTATTAGCGCATTCAAAACACCCGCCCCACCCCAAATCTACATAGGTCATCTTACATTTCATACAGTTGATTGGTGATGAACATGATGCAGGACAACAACTCACTGTGTAATGTAGTCTACAGAATCAATTATATGCCCGTTGAGGCAAAAAATGCTCCTGTATGAGTTTTGAGTAAATCTTATATTTATATCATATGATATAGATATAGTTAAGCAATATCACACAAACACCGAGTACAATATCACACGGGTGCTGTTTTTGTCCCGACTTCCGAATAGCATGAGTGCAAATGTGATACTGCTTTTATGCAAGTTCAATAAATAATAAGTTAAAGTCGGCATGAAACGGAAGTTGTGATTGTCTTTTCTTCTCTACTGTGACGTATATCCGAGTGAAACGGAATCTGAAATGAGAGGGCGGGACTTGATTTCGTCCTTCGGAAATTGATTGGATCGTTGGAAGCTGGGGCGTTGCAAACAAAATGGAGCAGATCTGAATGCCAGTTTGCAGTTAGT